CTAACGAGTCGCCTTCAGCGACAGTAGTTACGCCCGTCGCGTCGACTTCCGCCGCTGCGATCGAACCCAACGCGCCTTCCGCGCAACCAATTTCGGCCCCCTTCCGCGCTGTCGTTCCCGACTCACAATCGGATGGCGGCTCGGACATGGAGGTCGAAACTACCCCCGCTAATAACGCGAACACTGACGGCTTTACCGTCGTAAAGTCGCGTAAGAAGGGCAAAAAACGTCCCGCAACCGATAGCGACCCCGAATGCGAGGCCGCCTCGTCCAACCGTCCCATCGCGACGTCCGCCAAAAAGGCAGCCGCGACTGCCCAAACGGAACCTGAATTCGCCGCCGAGCGAAAAATTAAGCCACCGCCTCCTATTATAATTCAAGAAAAGGCAAAGTGGCATCAAGTATGCTCGTGGTTTGAACGCCACAACATCCGCGACCCACGGTCGAAAAATAGCGAATACTTAGTATAATAGTAGCGAAATACTTGCGCGAAAATAAGATTTTAGAGAAAATTAGATTTCACACCTACTCTTTGCCCGAAGAACGCAAGCTTCGTGTAGTTATCAAGGGCGCCCCAAAGAGTCGGATGTCGACAAGGCGAAAAACCGACATCCGCACTCAGGGATACCCTGTGCATGCCGTCCGACGCCTCAGACACCGTGTCCCTATGGACATGGTGATGGTTGAACTTGACCCTACCCCGGAAGGTAAGGCCATCTTCAACCTGAAGAGGGTCTGTGGGCTGAGTGTGTCACAACTGCCAACGCTATAGCCACACGGCTAATAATTGTTTCGCTCACCCTAGGTGCGTCAAATGCACCGGTGACCACGGTACGCCCGAGTGCACGCGACCAAAAGTTTGCACAGATCCACCGGATTGCGTAAACTGCCACGCTACCGGCCATCCGGCTAGCTACAGAGGCTGCGCTAAGGCCCCGAAAACTCCCGCGAGAAAATCTCCCGCGAAATCAACATTGCCCAAACCCGCGCCCGTGAAATACGTTCCCGCGCCCGTACCCGTCGTCAACGCCTGGGCGAAACCCCAGGTGGCCGCACAGGTAGTCGCGCCCCCGGTCGCCTCACGACCAACGCTAGCCCAATCGCAGCCCGCCATTCAACAGGCGCCGAGGCCGCAGGTGCAGTCAACACCATCGGTATTCTCCGAAAACAAAGACGACCCATTCGCCCAAATTGCGAACATCTGCGCTTTATTAGACCGCATAAATAGAAAAGAGCTCGCCGTATTGTCCGCTAAAATAGCGGCCGCCACATCTGGCACCGAGCGGTTCCAAGCCATTAGCGAACATAAAATGCTTGTAGAAGCCCTCTGGGCATTTACGAGCCAACCATAAAATCTATAGTCCGCGCAATAAAACCCTCCGCCGCGTCGTTAGTTAGAACTCATAAAAAACTTTTATGGAAAGTACAACCGCAGGTAGAACAAAACCTCGGGCTCTGGTTGTTTCGTATTTCAACGCAAACGGCATTAAGGGTCAAAGGGACGAAATCGCAGAATTCCTTCGCGATTATAATGTAGATATTTTTCTAGTGCAAGAGACATTCTTGAAACCTAGTGTACGCGATCCCAGAATCGCAAACTACAACATAGTCCGCCACAACCGGTTAGCAAACCGTCTGGGAGGCACCTTAATTTATTACAAACGGTCCTTGCACTGTAGCCCGCTCGACATTCCAGAGCTAAGCCATATAGAGGCATCCGCGTGTAGGTTAGCGCTCACCGGCCATAGGCCGCTTGTAATAGTCTCAGCCTACCTCTCAGGGAACAAAACCTTATTACCAAGCGACCTAGATACGCTACTCAACTTAGGCCCATCCGTAATAATTGTAGGAGATCTAAATTGCAAACATGGCTCATGGGACATTCACAGCATCCCAAATAACAACGGAAAGCATCTCTTTAGCTTATCTGATAATTTAAACTTTACCATAATCGCTCCTGCGACTCCCACTAGGTATCCTACGTGGACAACTACCAACACGCGACACCGAGTATCCTAGATATCATGTTATTCAAGGAGGTCTCGCTCGACATCGAGTCGATAGAGACAATCCATGAACTAGATTCAGATCACAGGCCCGTCCTGTTTAAACTGGGCCAGAACGCCGGCGCGGTCCCTCCGACCAAATCCGTAGTGGACTGGCATCGTCTTGAGGTCAAACTCAGGGCCTTGGACTCCCAGGACATAGTCAACCTACGCGAGACAATAGCTACGTTCGATGACGCAAATCGAGCGATAGCAAGTCTCCGAGAATCTATTACTTCCGCAGTCGCAGACTCAGAACGGACGGTGAAACTGTCGGGCGACCGACGGTTTAACTTTCCGCCCGATCTGCGACTGCTAATTAGACAGAAAAATGCAGCCAAACGCGCTTTCGACCGATACCGATCGGAATCGAACCGAACCCTACTTCGACGCCTTCAGCTAGAAGTCAAAAATCGTGTATCGGAACACCGACACACAACGTGGGACACCCTCCTAGAGGACATCGAGCCATCGCACACTGCCTACTGGCGGTTGGCCCGCAGTCTGAAAGCAGATCCCCTCGAATCTCTACCGCCGTTAGTTAGACCTAATAGCGCTTCAGCAGCCCTAGATGACTCCGAAAAAGCCGAATGCCTTGCGGACAACCTAGAGCAGCAATGTACACCATCGCGCGAACACACCGATACAGCCCACCTAACGGAGGTGGACCGCGTAATCGAGATTAGGGCTGCGCTTCCACCGGAAGGCGATCCTTTGAGTTCAGTGACCCCCGAAGAGGTCCAAGAGATTATTAAAAATTTAAAACCGAAATCCGCCCCGGGCCCAGATAATCTTAGTAACAAAATTTTCAAAGCTCTCCCTGGGCCGCTTATCTGCTTACTGGCGACCATTTTCAATACTTTACTCTCCAGTTGCTCCTTTCCGGACGACTGGAAAGAAGCCACGGTTATCGGCATTCGCAAGCCGAATAAACCAGCCAACCAGCCCTCTAGTTATCGTCCCATCAGCCTACTCAGGTGTCTGGAGAAGCCCTACGAGCGGCTTTTATTAAAGAGGCTCAAAGAGCACGTGTTTTCCAACGGCCTTCTGCCGGCGGAACAATTCGGCTTTCGAGCTAGACATTCCTGTCCCGATCAACTATTCCGCCTAACAGAACATATCCTAAAAGGTCTAAATCACTCTAAACATATTAGTACAGGGGCTCTTTTCTTCGATGTCGCAAAAGCTTTCGACAAGGTCTGGCACAACGGCTTGCTTTACAAGTTGTACACACTCAAAGTGCCAGATAGGCTCGTACACACCATCCGGGCCTTCCTGTCGAACCGCTCTTTTCGATATCGAGTTGAAGGCACCCTCTCCACAAGCCGCCGCCTCATGGCCAGCGTACCACAAGGCTCCTGCCTCTTACCTTTGCTCTTTACGCTCTACACGAGCGATATACCTAAAGACCCCCACGTCAATCTCGCGCTTTTCGCGGATGACATGGCGCTCTTTTATTCAGATTGCAACCTTAGTCAACTAACCACTCGACTCCAAAGCGCCGCCAACCGCCTTGGCGATTGGTTCCGCAAATGGAGAATAGAAATAAATCCCGAAAAGAGTGTGGCGATTCACTTCACACGAAGTACTTACCCGTCACATCTTTATAATGGCCCTCGTCAATGCAGAAAGTTTGGGCAAATATCTCTTTATGGTCAACCGCTCCCCTGGGAGAAAAAGGTCAAATACTTAGGAGTCACTTTCGACTCACGTATGTCATTTAATACGCACATTAATAACGTTCGAAATAGAGCCGCGTTCGTCTCCGGCCGGCTACACAATTTAACTAACTCTAAAAGTAAAATGCCCTTAAGGCACAAATTATTATTATATAAGACCTGCGTACGACCTATTATGTCCTACGCATGCATGACCTTCGCCCACACGCACCCAACTCGCTTGTACAAGTTGCAAATAGTACAAAATAAATTCATCCGCCGCGCAACCGGTGCGCAGTGGTATCAACGCAACGTCGACCTGCACAGCGATTGCAGACTCCCAACGATTCGCGAATATTTTAAAGACCTGACCAAACGGTTCTTCGATAGAGCCGAACATCATCCCAACCCTCTGGTCAAACGCGAACGTCAACAAGCGTCGCCCGCGAAACGTCCTCATCAACCCGATCGAGGAAGGGGACTTAGATACGTCGGACCCATCGCCGGGGGTCCCGCCGGATAACACTATACCCACAGTTAGTGCAACAATAAACACACTAGTTCGCCCTCGCGTCCGAGCACGGCGAGACCAACACAACGCGTACACAAGGTACACCCGCGTTCCGGGGCGGTTCTCACCACCCCCAGCCACCGATTAGCTAATTGCACAGTCGACGGCCATCGGGGTTTCAGTCCGAACCGCGACCTCGATGGCCCTTAGTTGACACACCATAGTTAAACGCACGCGTGAGCACATGCGTGGCCCTACCCACAGCGGAGGGCCCAAACCCGTGGGTTCTGGCTAGCCCACCAGTTCTGCGACAGATAAAGCTTTAATAGTCTCGGGACTGAAAGCAAAAACATCAGTTAATACAAGATACAAGGGTTCACAGCTTGAGTGTTTTACCAAGATCTCAATATATGAATTTATTCGGTAAAGAAAAATCATTAATGAAATAATCAACAAGCAGAATTAGGCAGTCGCTTATAGTTTTCAATAAAAAAAGGTATTATTTTCCGTTAGCTCCGGGTGTTTTTCGACCTCACAAAATTTTTTATTCGGTAGATAAAAATCACTAATGAAATAATCAACAAGCAGAATTCTCTAGTTGCATATAGTTTTGGAGAAAAAAAAAATGTTTAAAACATATTATTTTGAAATCTGCGACCTCTTAATACTGCTTTTTCATTATTTCATTAATGATTTTTCTATACCAAATAAAATTTTTGTTATGTTAAAAACACCTGGAAGCTAATAGAAAATATTCCCAGTGTGTAAATCAGTTAATTGTTACAGGGATTGCATATTTATATTTATTTCTAATATTGGTGGACCGGAAATAGCCTCAAATCTTCTTCAATTGTATAGTCAAGGAATAAAACGAAATGAAGTAGAATTTCACCATTTTGAACCTATAATAAGACGAACATCATATTATACAGGTGCAACAATGTCTTTGTTTTACACTTTAAAATAATGATTATTCATTTCTGTGTGTTTGTAACTTATATTTCCAACCCAATTTCTAATTTCAAAGTATATTAAAGTTTTTTATAATTTGTCGAAGAAAGAGTATTAGTTGTTTTTTTTTTTATTTTGAACTGGCCAGCACTTGACTGCCATCCCACCTGATGGTAAGCACCGATGCAGCCGTTGATGTTAAGCGTGCTAGCTCAGCAAAAACCTATTCACTCTTGTCTTCAAGATGTCTATGTGTTCAAAAAGTTAATTTTTACAGGTGGATTTGAAAAATCATCAACCATTGCCCAGCATTTAATCGACCATTACATACCATTCTTACCTTTGGAGCAACATCATGTTGAGATGTGTGCATTGGCTGAATTCCATTCGCTTGGTGTATATCATCCCACTGATGTAATGATGGAGTGAGTAATTATTTATTTTTGCTAATAAGCTGCGATTTCCATAGCACTTATGACCTTTTGGTCGCGAGAAAACAACCCTAGAAGCGAGCTAGCGCTGGATGTTTTCTCTACACCTCGAGTATAGAGCCGTGTACTCCCGCAAGTGCAGTTACCGCAGTCAGAGATAGGTATGGCTAAAAGGACATCATCACCACCAACTAGCCTTGAGCTGGTCGAGATTACGCCCGAGCTATCGGGACCAGGACCCTTAGGCCTTATGTCAGCTGCAGTACATTCCTTTGGCTCCATGTTTGTTTTATTGTTTTTTTTTAATTTATAACAAAATGGAACAAAACATTTGGTTGGGATAGCTCTTAGATTACTCTAGTAATTAATAACTTAATGGCATTTGTAAACAAAACTATAAAAAAAATTGTAAATAAATCATAGCTCCTTTATAACTATATTTGAGCAGAGCAGAGCAGACACGCTAAAGTTGCTGCGGACAAATACTCAACCACGGAATAGAGAAAACTGTGGAAGTGGTTCTCACAGTCCCTAGTACCAGACCCGCTGTCGCCGAACTGACACAAGTAGTGCTTGTGTCGTGTTCTGAACAACAAATGTATCTTAGCTGCTATTGGCATTAACTATTCGAAATATTTAAACTTAAATGTTAATTGCTGTTAATTGAAAAATACACCGTAAAGTATAGACATTAAAATTTAATTTATGAATGATGTATTTGTGACGTTTTTCGTTTCAACCTCTTACAGGAAAAAATATCAAGTGAGTACAGCCCCTTGACACTAGATATCACGACCATAATGTGCATAATCTCTTGGGTTAAAGACAATAATTGCCTATTACTACTTGACACAAAGTTTGTATTTTTAGTTGTTAGGGTTGTTTTCTTACTTTAATAGAAATAGAATTTATCGATATTTTAGTTACACCGACAGTGGTAAATTTTTAGTTAACAGAACAAAAAACGAGTCCAACTCGTTTTTTGTGTTCTGTATAGAACATTCAAATTTGTGTAGCGAGTTAGGCTGAGTTAATGAATTTCTCAAGGCATATGATAATTAAAATGTGGCTTTTTTGTTAAAAGCAGATAATTTTCCACATAATATTATGAAAAAGTCATGCTGGATTGAGATGCAATTGATTGTGCCAGTTGCGTTTATCCACTTTTTTTTACAAAACTCAAATTAAAATAACTCCAAGTAAAACAATGAAAATAAGTATCCTTAAGATGAACACGATTGTTCACAGTAAAATTATAAACTATAGTTATGATATAAATGTTCTAGCTTATGTTAACTTAAATCTATGATCGACGTGTTTTTTTTTAAGTCAAGTCAAAAAAAAATGGTCACTTCACTTACTGAGTAGCAAAGAAAACTAAAGAAAAAAACTAACTGAGTAACTTTCTAGCAATCCCTACTTGAGTAGTGTTTCTTGACAAGGTAAAATACCCTTTAAAGCTTTAAACATTAGGTTACCTCTTGAGTGTAGTTCAAAGCAAATTTTAATTTTTTCGTAAAATTGTTTAATTTTGTAAAATAACTAAAATAAATATAAATTGTGATGTGAAAGTCTTCGAGTCATTTTTGTTCGGCTATTATTTTTTCATTTGTTTATAATTTGGAGGACATGTGAAACAGTGCGGGCGATTGGAGTCGCACGCGCTGTTACACACGTGTTTGAACTCGTATTGCCTTCACCTACTTTCTTCACCCTTTGCCTAGTAACACTTTCGCTTAACTGCGGTCGTCGGGTTATACCAACATGTTTCCACTTGTTTTCTTTATTCCGTGTAGGTACACCACACACGAGCATACAATTACAGAAGGATTTTATTGGATACCTACAAAGGATAGCGAATAGGTGTGCCCTGTTTCAGCCTTGACGTTTTTTTTAGAGACACCATTAAGTTTTGCGACCTATACGTTCTTCTTTATCGTTCCCTCACTAATGAGGATCGTGAACATAATATATGATTAATAGATCTTTGTAGCTTTTCTCTTGATTTTGGGAAAATCATTTTCTTGTAAGGAAATATATGGGTCCTTACAAGAAAATGAGTTTTCAAAAAGGTAAACATCTCTTTACGTGTGCCATGGCTATTTGGATTTTATATTTTTTATAGAAGGGACTGCGATCTAGAAAGACCTATCTTCCCTTCTTCTTCTAGTCTTCCCTTCGAAAACATTACCCCTTTACTGCAGGATAACCTTATCCTGTATTGTAAAGATATTGTACATGCATAAATTTTACCTGACTAAAATACTAATTAAATCTTTCTGTCCTTGTACTTTTTTAAAATATGATTTTACTTTACAGGGATGCTTTATCAATAATCACATATGGACCGACTGAGGACAAACCCATATTTGCGAATAATGGATGTAAACGTTTTACAAAACACATTCCTTATGTAATACAAAAATATAGGCCTAAAAATGAATTGTAAAAGCTACTAATGTTTAAGTATATTGTGATATGAGTTTTGTGTACCTGCAGTAAAAATTAGCTTGAAGCTAATATTGAAATATGAGTTAAATAATAACCATGAATAGAATCTGAATGTTTTTTTGCTTGTTTGCAATTATGCTATTAATAAAACTCCTATTCTAATATCACACACAAAAATATTTTTGAATTACAAGAATTTTCAAAGTAATTGAATTCTCTTATTTTGGTGTTTACCTATTTAGTAACATAAGATGCATAATGTGCATAATAAAGCAATTGTCACCGCAAACTGCACAAATTTTACTTAACATCCTCAATTCAATAACCTTCAATGTACAATAGAAACCGTACAAGTATATGATTACATAATGAGTTTATTTTAATTGTAACAGTACATATTCTATTTATCCCCAATGGATTTTCATTCTGCTTTAAGAAAAAAAAATATTGTGACTAATGTTATGGCCAAATCATTAATGCAAATGTTTGTGTATAAAAAGTCGAAAATTATTTTAGATTTTTTTTTAAATGTGCTTATATTAATGGCAATATTTAATTTCAACATCATGATCCTCTCATTCCTATAAACTTCGTTGTTCCCTGGGAATGAGATGATCGCTCCTAAGCTATTTCTAAAAAAAAAAATATATACTGTAGAACTATGTATTTGTTGAGTAAAAAAAAATGACAAAAAAGAGATACCTACGGAGTTTCTTTCGCCTGTTTCTTCTCCGTTAGAGGAACCTCATTACGAAACGGTGGTAGATTTAAAAAAAATGACTATCGATAAATGAAATATATATTTCTTATTTCGATGAATAAATGATTTGAATTTGATTTGTTAAATAATATAAGTATTGAAATTTAAATAAGTATTATTTATTTTCAGTTCAACTAGTGCGATAGAAATACTTATATTTTGTTAACGAAAAGAAAATGTGAAGTCTGTAAAGTTCAATGTATGCCTCTTTTCACATTTACTTTTCTCCAGTAATCTGAGTTCATATCTTGATGACAGTGCCACCAAATTGGTTCATTTATACAGCGTGTCGTTACCATCGCGACAATAAATGAACACATCTAACGCTACTAGCCAATAATCATAAAAAATATTGACGTTAAAAAAAATTCATAATTAAAAAAAATATTTTTCAAAAAAAACTAATTAAGTAAAAAAAAACAAAATTTGTAACATCCTAAACAACTACATCTGACTGATTCATACATTCAAAGAATTTTTCATTAGTTGCCACAGGGCCGTATTACAAGCCTCTCCTTCTAACAGTATGTTTTGTCTCTTTTAAATTCATTCAACCCATTCATACGCTTTGTGACCTTTACATAAAGTTTTATACGTAAAGGTGTCCTAAAATTCTTTGTTTTGGAAAATTTAATAACTCTGTAAATATTGATGGTTAAAGAATGTAAATGTTTAATACAATTTTAAAAAGTTATCCTCTAAAATTAATTAATTTATTGAGTAAAATGGCGTGCAATTTCTCTAATGTTGCGTTTCCCGGACAGTTTGATCCACGGACTGATACAGAATAAGATAGATAAAGAACGTTTTTTGTATGCTTTAGAAGCAACGAATGTAAATGGTGACGACGTAAACAAAGCACGTGCGCTGTTTTTATCACAATGTGGAAAGGAGACTTTTTCATTAATTGTTTCATTATTAGTGCCTAGAAGACTTACTACAGTGGCATTAAATGACATTTTGGCAGTGCTTGACCAATTCTATGAACCTCAAGTGAATGAAATCTTACAATCTAATATAATTCATAAACGTCAACAAAGTCAAAGTGAAAATATTCAGGAATATATTGCAGCTATCGGCTCGCAGGCTTCTAGTTGCAATTTTATACACTTAAAAAGACAGCGAAGAGATCGGTTAGTGTTGTGTGCGCGACGGGCGGCTCCGCTGCGAGTTGTTAAGGTTAATCTTACTTATGAGTTGGCGGTGCAATTGAGCCTAAACTATCAAGGCACATTTTAATTTTTTTTTATAGTGCTAATCTCTGATAGAAATATTTCGTACTTTTTATACAAATTTTAATGTTCAATCTTAAGTGCAGAGATTAGCACTATAAAAAAATATTAAATTTTCTAAGAAGCAATGGCGACAACTCTCGTTCGAATTATCGTTGTAGAACGATATTCGAAATTGTTTTTTATGCTGGAAAGGATATAACAACAAATGCGCCAAGCATTGCTTCAAATGCTAAATAACAATGTAGAAAGAACGCGTTAAGATTTTCGTCGCTGTGGCTATCAGCCGTTTAGCTCAGTGGCTAGAGCCTCAGGCCGCGAATGGCGAAGACGTGGATTCGATTCCCACAGCGGCGACAATCTTTTCGTACTTTTTCTACAAATTTTAATTTTAATTTTATTTTTAACTTTTTAGTATTATTTTTTTGTTAATGTTGTACCCATGTATGGTAGGGCCACGCAACAGTGTTCGCTGTTGCACGAATGGGCAGGCCCGTCCGGGTTAGTACCACGACCTCACAGAAGACCGGCATGAAGTAGAAATGCAATCCTATGGGTGTGGGTACATTCTTACTTGTGGCACTATTCATGCAGAATGGAGAGACATTTAATGCTACTCGTTATAAAACGCTGACCAAATGCGACATACAGTAGTTTTCTTTTCTTATCCACCAATCCAATCAAATTGTCCCCCGCGTGGATGTCAGTTATCGCGACCAAAAGTAATCATAAAATTTTGATCCTGTTTCTGCAACCCATTCCAGGGATAAAAAGTATTCCAGGCTATAATCTATGCCTGTATGTTATTCTCCTGTCCGTATTTTTTCTGCGATTACTCCTAAGATATTCGTTTAAATTATAACCATATAATTTAACACACAACACATTTACCAGTAAAAGAGTAAAAGTATCTGCATGAAACGCTTTCTTTTAATTCAAAACTGGCCAGCACTTGCCATCCCATCGATGGTAATCGGTGATGCAGCCGTTTATGGTAAGCGCGCTAGCTCAGTAAAAACTTATTCACTCTTGCCTTGAAGACGCCTCCGTTGTAATCGGACGGCGAACACCCAGTTGTCCAATGATGGAAAGGGGCGTTAGGAATCAGATCGTGTAACTCCAACACACACTCTCCAAAATGCACCCTGTAGAAAACCTAGTAAGATTGGTTTTAACCAAGTTATGGTCACGAATGAGCCTTTCCGCACGCCTCTCCATTGAATCCTAGGCATCCAGATGGCCATTTTGCAGCCCCAGCCCAGATGTGGCATCAGTACTCGACACACGATCGAACTTAAGCTTTGTATAGAGTAAGAAGCTGTCACGGCGTGAAGAACCGTCGCACCTTTGCAAGGACACCTAACTTCTTTGCAGCTACCCTGGCTTTAGACTCAATGAACCGCCCAAAGTTGAGGTTTGAGAATATTTCGACACCCAACAGATGAAGGCGGTCGGTAAACTCCAAGGACACATTCTGGAAAGTAGGAGCCAAGGTGAAAGGGCTCCTTTTTGCGGAAAAAAGACGCCTGCGTTTTGGAGGCGTTGAATCTCACCAGATTGACATCGTCCCATTCAGAGACCACCTGCAATGTAAGATTCAAACGCTCTACCATGGCCTCTGTTTCGGACTGGATGTGATCTCTACTGACCCGAAGACCCGGTTGGTATCTCTCCACAACTGTACTGTCGTCCGCGTACCTATGGACACCGGGCATTATCAGATCGTTGATATGCAGCAACAAAAGAGTTGCGGAAAGGACGAACTCCTGACGAAGTCCGGCATTTGTCGTCAGTGGCTCTTATGAACAGCCTTCGACGACTACGCGGAGAGACCGCTCACTCAAAAAGCCTTTAAGGACTCTAACTTATTTAAAATGGTAAGGATTAATGCCGTTTTTGTGCTTTGCAATTACCGCTTTATAATTTCCCATTTTTTAAATGTTATCCTTAAGAAATAGACACAAATGTCATCGCGACTTTTGTGTAGACCTATATATGATACACAATTCCACCATACATCAGTGTTACATCTCAAAGGTTTTATACCACTCTATCTATTGGTGAGAACAGGATGAAAATCAGTGCAGTAGTTGTTTATTGCGAACAGACAGAGAGAGACGCGGCGATGGACTTTGTTTTATAATATGTAGTAATAGTGATTATTGTTAGTTATTATTAATTATTGTTAGATAGTTTCCCATTTCTTTTTTATTGTACATACATATGATCTAACAAAATATTGAAATAATAATGACATTTTTTTACCTTATTCATTGTTATTTCAATGAAGTTATGGAAAGGTTCAGCATGAATGGAAATATAAAAAGGGTATGTGTGTTTATTTATAACTTCAATAAGCGTATTAATATTAATAGCTTGGTATGTTATAGTGCAGTAAATACTCATTGTCTTCAACAAACACACAAATGAAGAAAATTATCAGGATAACTCATATGTTCTGAGAGCCATTGCAATGGTGTGTCAGATGGAATCATAACACCATGAGTCTTCAACTTAACTGAAAAAGAAAATTGATTTAATTTCTAATTTTATATTAAATTGATATTTTCCTTAATTTTCTCAAAGTTATTTTAAGACAAACCTTCTAATTTGTCTGGAAATATTTCCGAAATGAGCTGTTGCAAAATTTTTCTACTCCCATCACTATTTTTAGGGCAAACGAGGTGCTGATTACATGTGCCATCATCAGAGTAAAGCCTTACTGGAATATGTTTAAAGCCTTCATTGTCACCATGAGACTCCATTAACCTTCTGTTTATTGCCCAAAATTGATCAAATTTATCTTAAAGTAAAAAAAATATTATTCTTTTAAAATGAGGTTTGACTTATATTTTTATAAAATTCCTTACCATTTTGCAACCCTAACCACAATTGATTGTGATCCTTTTTCTGCATTGTAGACATAACTTGTCCTCTATGTTTGAGTACATCAGCTTCTTTTATTGTTGACATGAAGTGTGCTTCCACAACATCCCTGAAGAAGGTTTATTTAGTATATTTGAATATTTTCTACAAAAATTATGAATTGCTGCAGTGTCACAATTATGATGTCAAAGACAATAACGATTATCAAAAAACGTCACACTGGACAAGCTGGTCAACTTGAATGTCTTATCCCGGGTAAAAGTATTTTTGAGGCTTATTTAAACATGTTAATCATAGCCTAATATCGTGGTATAAGTGTTTTTATGTATTTATTTTGTACAAAACAAAATTTTCAAACACATCCTATCATTCGGTATTTTCTTTTTACACCCGAAATACAATATAATCCCACCAATTCACGAGGACTTGGTAAGTTAAATTATATCCGCATAATTTTATAAAAATTAATTAATTAAATCATAATCTGTATGTTGGCGTAAACTTTTATAAATTTCACGTAAAATTTTAAATTATGTATCGGAAAGTAATTTCGTTTTTTTTGTGAACACCTTTTGCTCACCTTTTGCCATTTTTGAGGTGGTGGTAGTATAATTCCACGCTCATAAAACTTTTGGTCTTTGCTGGCAAAAACTGATCGAGGTGGTTTTTGATTTTCTCAATTGAGGTGAAGGTATTACCTTCTAAAAAGTTTTGGAGTGACCGGAACAAATAATAATCCGATGGTGCCAGGTCTGGAGAATATGGTGGGTGTGGCATTGTATCCCATTCAAGCTGTAAAAGCTTTTGGCGAGTGACCAAACTTGTGTGAGGGCTCGCCTTGTCTTGGTGAAATACTACACCTTTCCTGTTCATCATTCAGTTTTTCTAGCTGATGACAGTAGACTTCCGAATTAATCGTTTTGTTATCCGGTAAAAGCTCGAAAAAAAAAAACGATTCCTTTAAACTCCCACCAAACAAACAGCATCCCCTTTTTTTGTGAATATGGGCATTGGAAATGGTTTGAGCCGGTTCATCTTTTTTGCTCCAAGACTTCTTGCGTTTGACGTTGTTGTATACAACCCATTTTTCGTCCCCAGTGATGATGCACTTCGAAAAAGGATCATTTTCGTGACGTTTGATAAGCGACGAGAAGCAGACGTCAATACGGCGACACAGATTTCTCTGTGTGAGAACATGGGGAACCCATACATCGAGCTTCGAGGATAATCCAGGCCTTTCAAGTGTTCTCACGTGTTGTTATTCGCCGGTTCGTATCAACTACTGCTTTATCGCGTCATGTGTGAAGTTGGGTGCAAAAAAATACAATTAAATCCTCGAAGCTCGATGTATGGGTCTAATCCTCGGGAAAAACGAAATTACTTTCCGAACAACATATTAGTATCCTTATAGTATTAGCCAATTTAATTTTCATAATGGATTATTTAAAATAATTAGTTTATCTTGATATTATTTCTTTGTTATTAGATATCACAAAAAATGACGAAAATGACAAGAGTGATATAATAATAATAATAATAATACCATTCCATATGACGAGAACCTCGTGAAAGGCGAAACAGATAAGAAGACAAAGTATCTGGACCTGGCTCACGAGGTGACCGACATGTGGGGTGGTGTGCCGACCGAAATTATCCCGATAGTTGTGTCTGCGAATGGGTTAATCGCAGTCAGCCTCTCCGAACATCTGAGGTATTATATATAATATTTATATCTATATGTTTATTTTTATTCATAATATTTATTTTATATATGCAATATATATTTATATGTTTTATTTTTTTATCTATAAACCCAACCAGACGAGAAAACAAATAAATATCCCCAACATAATAATAATAAATGTGATTTATTGAACACTTAGTTACACATTTAATGGCGCCTTGACTCCCGAACTAGGATATCCTGTATTTCAGGAGCCAATCCCATCCCCTAATTAACATACACTTTTGTGCCAATAAACATAAAATAAAAAGGTAATTATATTAAAAAAAATATTTTTCAAACAAACTAATTAAGTAAAATAGAAATAAAATTTGTAACATCCTATACAACTCAAAAAAAAATTTTAAATTCATTCAACCCATTCATATGCTTTGTGACCTTTACAAATGAACTTTACGTTACGCTTTTATAGGTAAGGATGTTCTAAAATTCTTTGTTTTGGAAAATTTAATAACTCTGTAAATATTTATGTTTAAAGAATTTAATGTTTAATACAACTTTAAAAAGTTATCCCCTATATGTGTGTTCATTTATTGTCGCGATGGTAACGAAACGCTGTATATATATTCTTTTATTTTTTTTTATAATGCTGAAATGTACAATCTTATTTTCAATCTTCTATTCAACGAGGAAATGCGGCTAGCGTTTTTAAATTATATAATTTTAGATAGTTTTAATCTTGTAAATATTAGATGTATATATATGTGTGTGTTTATATATATATAAATCTTAATTTCCAAATTACGCGATTTACCAAAAAAAAAACACCGAGTAAAACATCTAACGATGTAACATCTCTAATAAATATCAAACAACGCTAACACATTCAAATATTTGCCTAGTGTTGGAACTTAATAACTAAAACCGGCCAGCAGGGTTCCGTACCATTATATATATAAAAACGGCAAAAAAGTCAAGTATGTTGTTTGTGAGCTTCACTTAAATATTTTTTTATTCTATTTTTAAGTATTTCTCATTAAAACGGCAACAGAAATACGTCATCTGTGGAAATTTGTGACTATCACAGTACATGAGATACAGCATGGTGACAGATGGACAGATAGACCGCGGAGTCTTAGTAATAGGGTCCTGCTTCACCCTTTGAGTACCTATAAAACCTTTGCGAACCCTAAAAAGTTAATCCTCTAAGGAACTTTCGGTAATAACTGCAGTTCAGGTAACATACTTAATTCTTCGGTCTTACAAGGTTATAAGCAAAATTTAACTTACTTATTTGGGCACCGTAGAAGGATATTTTCTGGAAATTTTGTAAAATGTACAGTTAACATCCATGGTAACTGAGGGTCGTTGCCACAATACAGATCAAATAAAAATCCAATGGGATAATGCCATTTCATTGGCTGACCATTGTAATCAAGCCACATTTCATTATCAGCATTTTCTTGAGAAATATAACGAAGAAAGTGTCTTTTCATCTGTCAATAAAAATCAATAATTAATAGTCACTTAAATGGAATAAATGCCTCATTATTAGCTTGTTTTTTTGGTATAAATTTCATTTTTAAATATTACATAAAATGTCATTTCAATTTTTTAAAATGAAATACTTTATGTAATTTTTAAATAAATAATTTGCAATAGTCAATTCAACAAGATGATCAGTTTGGCTTCTCTTTCCTGTTACCCTGAACCCATTACAGTTTTTGAATATCCCAGCAAGAAAAGAATCCATAACCCTTTTCCTTCACTTTTGCATGACTTTTAAGTATATGATCATGTATGACTTTCCATTGACGTCCGTCGAATCTAGGGCGTGAGGGGTGCGAGGACAGCCCGCCGATTTTCGTGTTTTTTAATATTTAATTTTGAGGTATATTTTTGCAAATATATATATATATATATATATGAACACACATATAGAGGAAAAGTTTTAAAAATTGTATTAAATATTTACATTCTTTAAACATCAAGATTTACAGAGTATTTAAATTTTCCAAAACAAACAATTTTAGAACACCCTTATGTTTAAAACGGTAACGTAAAGCTCATTTGTAAAGGTCACAAAGCATATGAATGGGTTGAATTGATTTGAAAAAGATAAAACATACTGTGACTCATTAAATTTTTCAAAAAATTTTAATAAATTGTCTTACAATGGATACCTATAACTTGTATGACATCGCTCGCTTCCTATATTTATCATGTTGGCATTACTATGTATTGAATTATTGAAGTCAAATTAGTAAAATGGTGGTCTTAATGAAAATAACAAATTTTAAATATTTTTTTTTTCAAAAACTATGTGTTTCCACATGTTGAAACTTTGCGTGTAAACTTATAATAATGTAACCTTTCTGTAAAAAATATATCAAACCCCAACTCGACTGACGTCAATGGAAACTGAGCCAATATGGTATTATATGCTATTCTAAAAATGACTTGCCATTTTTAAAGTTTACACTGAATATTCCTTAATAAGGTAAGAAGTTTATGGTGCAAATGATATGAAGATTATGAACAATTGAATAAATATTTTATAAAATTAGTAATTGCAATTTTTATCAAATCAATAAATGAATAATAAATTATATATTAAATTAATATACATCAGTAATACTTACCTTATCAGTTACCAAGGGAAAATAACTAAGCCTGGGAACCATCACATAAAAAGGATCAGGTTGCTGTATTTCCATTATTTCATCTTGATCCAACTGAAAACAAATCGGTAATTTGCCGTCCCATATTTCACGTAGAACTTCTCTGTCGTTTGCCATAGTTTGAAACTTTGAACCAAGTATCTATATTTTTAAACTAATTGCAGTTATAAAATATCGGAAAATAATCGTCGCAATGAAGTACACACTAATAAAGCTTTAAAATGTATCAAAAACAAAAACAATAAAGCGAATGAAAATTAACGAAAGTTACGTTCACAAAATCGTAAACAGGTATATTATATAACCTTATTATAATCGTTATTGTTACGTTACGAATACGGTTAAGACAAAGTTACTGAACTGAATACGATTATTACGAATTACGATTACTTAGTGACAACTGACAAGTGAAAACAGACTAGGCGTGGGGAAAAAATATCGATATATAATAATACCGATATTTTTCCTAATAAATATCGATATATATCGTCAATAATTTTATTTTCGATATATCGATATTCGATATTTATTTTCTACTATCGAATTCGTGTCAATTTCGATATATTCTTTAACGCATTACGCAGCTCTGTTTTGGCGTTCAGTGTTACTAGATGCGTGCACATCACGTATTTTGAGTTTAATGGCGAATGGGCTAATGCTTGCAATGAACTCGTTGAATCTGTGAAATTTACAACTCTAGGTAACTCCAGTATAAGGGTATTATTCTTCAAACCTTTAAAAAAAGCATATACTTCATATGCTAACATATACTTCTACTTAATTTAATCTTAACCCTAAATCTTTTTTATTATTCTAAAATAAATTAAGGTTCTTTTTCCGGAACATTCTATATCAAAGGACAAATTAAATTGGAACCTATAAAAGAGCCTTTTTTGTTTGTAGTTTGCTGGTAAGCCAACTACGCACACAGGGCACAGGGCAGTTTCTTTTGATCTCTCTCGCCTCTGTCCCAGATTTGCTGTAACTGGAAGACTGGATGATAAAAGTCGTTATATCCCAATCGTACCTCCATCTACCAGAAGCAAAATTCTCACGGTCCTTTCTTAAAAATCGCCAGTGACCAAATGACCAGTTATACGAAATATACCTTTGCTCTTCCGTAACATGCTGGGTCAGGGAGTCCTTACGTGTGAAAGAAAAGAAAGAAAGGAGACAAAATACACTAAATAAATTTACAAATATTGTGAAAGGAATGTGTTTTGAAACAAAAAAGAAAAAGAAACTTTAATTAAAAAAATCATTGAAATAATCTTAACACATTAGTAACACTAAGATATATATAAATATTAACAAAAAAAGCATTGTGCGTGTCTCATGGCTGCACCAATAGGTCTCCAGATCAGATTATTGCCGGGCTTTAAAACCTGAGGCTGGTTTTCATCTGGAACCCATGATCAACACAGATGTCAAATGAATAAATCGCTTAAATGCGAGTCGCCAGTACGCCGAGGGTTCCGTACCTACCCATTATACACGGAAATTGCTAAATAATCACCATCGATTTTCTCAGGAACAGGGCGTCCTAGCAAGTTGAAATTTATATCAGATATTGAGGTCTATAGTCCCTATTAGGAGTATAAATTTGTCCAAGGGCCTGAGTTATCACGATTAATATGGGCAAATTTACATTTTCGTGAAAACTTATAAGTACTTACAAAAATTTACCTTAATTTTCAACTTTATTAATTTCCAGAATTTTCTTTTATTTGTGCTGTAAGACCTTGCTTTTTGCTAAATTCCGCGATTCTAGATCAATAGAAACTATCGTATAGGTTTTCGACCCAAAACCTATAGGGTACTTCCGGTTGACGTAGAATTGCTAATTTTCGTTAAAAGTAAGTTTATTTAAATATATTAGATATGTCGAGTAATATTCTACTTAGACGATTTCCTTCTGGTCAACTAGGACCTATCTAAACAATGTCTGCGGGCCGCGGAGGCCGTGAGGCACTTTGAATACTTGGGCTGGCACTAACGGAAATATCTCTTAGTACTAACTCAAGTTTTGGAATACCTCAGTGTACGATGGTATATGGCAATGTAGACTTTGTTGGCAAATGCTATTCCCAACGAGAACGTAAAACGAAACGTAAAACTGTTTCATCCAAACCGTTTTAGTGTTGTTCAAACAGCCTTCGATGCACAAATCACATCATATTTGATTTTTCTATACAATATCTATATATAATTATATTCAATAAAAATAAAGAATTTGATACTACTATAACTACTTCTTTCATTAAATTTTTAAATTAAGTCTGTAGATTAATCAACATAGTGTTGTGTTTTTACTTAAATATAAAACCTATTGGCAATCATGATGGAATTCACGCAGGGCATGCCTAGTGTGATGTCCACAATAAATTATGCCTTCACGAATAATTTGTATTGTATGCCTAATGTATCTGTCACTTTTTAATAGTTAATTTTTGTTTAAATACCTATTTTTTATTTTACTAATGTAATGTGCAGATTTTGATTACAAATAAAGATAGAGTACAAAAATATACTACAAAAAATAGAGTAAAAAATTAAACTTGTCAAATGTCAAGTTTCAGTATGACAATTTGATAACGTGCAAATGTGAGATGACTATTTGCTATTGATTTTGATATTGTTATTTTTGTTTGTATTCAACACCACGTGTATGAATATATTGAAAAGGAGGGTTTGCAAATGATATTAAAACGTCAATAAATGAAACAATAATTGAACTAATTAAGTATGGGGAAAAAAAGGAAATTGGCTGCAAATAAAGACGATTTCGAATATGACCCTGTTCCAAAACATTTGGTAACATCTCATATAAAAAAGCAGGAAAAACGTTTAATAGTTATTTTGGAAAATGCTCAGCTTGAAACTGTTAAGGTAGGTTTATTGTATATTGATCTGTCCTTATTGTTCAACGAAAAGGTTCTTTTTAAATATAACCTGTATTATAATTATGATCTTGCTTTATCGATTACTGGAAAATCTTTGACACGTAACAATTTATTGGAGGGACATCTTATTTATATTATAAGTGTATCAAATATCAGTAAAATTGTCCATATATTAAAATTTTTACATAATGGAACACTTATTTAGTTACGCGAAAATAACTTGAAAGAATTTTTTTTGAAATTTCAGTATTCTCAGTTTCCATTATTCACTTTGACTCTTAAATGAAAAATGTAAAATAAAACAGTGAACTAGTTCCAAAAATGGTGAAGTGTTAATGTAAATGTCTTTAAATGGTTTATAATTCAGTATTACGTCAGTTGAGTGATTTTTACTAATTATTTATTTTTTACACGCTTTTGAACAAACTTGCCTTGATATGGGGATTAATTTTTAGTAATTGACAATCTTGCAGTTTCATCAAAAACTTTAAAACCTCACTGAACAGCATAAGTACCATAAATGATTCATCTCATACCTATTCATTGCTAGTATGTTTTTTAATTTGAAACTGTCCAGCGCTTGACTACCCACTAGTTGGTAAGTGGCAATGCAGAGTTTGATGGTATGCACGCTAGTTCAGTGAAAATCTATTCACTCTTGCCGTGGAGTCACCCATGTAATAATCAAATGGAAAGAGGGATGCCGGTAGTTGTTTAATAACGGCTCTACAGATGATGAATGATGAATTGTTCTTGTTAATGGAACATCAACAGCATAAATAGGTGGTGTCCCACCCAATGTTTAGTTAGTCTAGTAGGAAAGGGGTGGGAGAAGTCAGATCATGTATATACAAAGCACACTCCAAAACATCCTATAGAAAATCAAAATAATATTTGTAACTGAGGAATTATTTAGCATCTCAATATATAAAATATTAGTGTGAAGAACCCTGATGACCTTTTTACAGAACCTTCAGTTTAAATAGACAACAAACAGAAAGAAATTGACATTTAAAGAAAATAAAAATTGTTGTGTTGTCTCATTCCATTTTATTAAGACTTTTTCTTTTCTTCTTTCTTCTTAAGTGTGATGACATTTTTAAATGACACCTCATTTTACATACTTATTTTGGTGTTGCAATATGGTCCATCATGGATTTCGCACTTTAGTCCAACACTTAGTCTTGATTTTGAGCTAAATAGAAAGTTTATTTTCTAAATTGTCTGCTTACTTTTTTCAGAATGGTAACAGTTTTGAACTTTTGAATTGTGATGACCATGCAGGCATTTTGCGTAGAAATGATAGAGAACCTGGTTCATGCCGCCCAGACATAACTCACCAGTCTCTACTTATGTTGATGGATTCACCATTAAATAGAGCTGGTTTACTGCAAGTTTATATTCATACAGAAAAAAATGTTCTTATTGAAATAAACCCACAAACACGAATACCAAGAACATTTAAGAGATTTGCTGGTTTAATGGGTATGTATATGTATATTTCGAATCATTAAGTCAAATCACATTTTATTTTATGACGCATGTATTGCATACAAAATGATTGTTAAGTTTTCAATTTCCTTTAAATTTTTATGGTTGGAATTTTTTATAATGCTTTTAAATATTCAGTGTAATATTTTGCACAATTTTTTAATTATTGTTTTTATTTTCAGTCCAACTTCTTCACAAATTTTCTATAAGAGCATCTGATGGTCCCATGAAATTATTAAAAGTTATTAAAAATCCAATAACGTCACATTTACCTGTTGGTGTAAGAAAAATCACTATGTCTTTTAGTTCTAAAATGGTACAAACATGTCGGGACTTGGTACCAAAAGATGAGCCAATTGTTCTTATAATAGGTGCAATGGCACATGGCAAGGTGGAAGTGGATTATTCTGAAGATGTTATATCCATAAGCAACTATCCCTTGTCTGCTGCATTAACTTGTGCAAAGTTGTGCACAGCTTTTGAAGAAGTTTGGGGTGTTGTGTAATATAAATATTAAATTCAATTTCTGTATTATATTTTATTACATTCTAGAATTCTTTCAATCAAAAACAATTACAATTGTAAAAATGTAAAGTATCGTAACAGCCTATAAATCCCATTTGCGAATGCCTCCTCTGTAAAAAGGGTGTTAGGGCATGGTACACCACGGGACCCCACTGCGGATTGGCGGACTTCACATATTTTCGAAATATTTTTTTTATTATTTCGAAAATATGCAAGTTTCCTCACGATTTTTTCCTTTACTGTTGAGCACATGATAAGTCATCATTTAAAATTAATAATCTCATTGGTGCCAGCACCGGGGATAAAACCCAGGTCAGGGTGCTTGAATAACTTTAATGATAAGAGCCAGGAAATTAGCTATTTTGTATAATTGTCAAAGCTTGGATTTAAAGTAGTTAATTTTAAAGATGATGTCTTCGCTAAAAATAACCATATAATTTTATAATTATAAATTATAAAAATAACCATATAATTTTTTATTTATATGAGAAATAGACAGTAAGCTAATTGAATGATAATAATAATAACTGATGTTACCACTTTCAGTCCCGAGACTATTAAAGCTTCATCGAACGCAGTGGGCTAGCCAGAACCCACTGGTTTGAGGCCCTCCACAGTGGGTAGAACCGCGCATGTGCTCATGGGTGCGTTAGCTACGGTGTGTCGCCTACGGGCTATCGAGCTTCTGTGCGGACCGTGACCCCGATAGCCGTTTACTGTACTTGGTTAGTCGGTGGCTGGGGGCGGTGAGTACCGCGGACGCGGAAACTGGAACTCGGGTGTACTGGAAGGCGAGGACGAACTATGGTGTATGCTGTTGCACTAACTGTATGTGTGAAGTGTTATCTGGCGGGATCCCCGACGGTGGGTCCGACGAATATAAGCTTGGCTTGTAGAGAGTATGCCCTTAACTCGATATCGAAAGGAGCGATTCGACAGGAAGGCATGATTGGTGTGTACGAGCCTATCTGGCACGTGAGTGTGAACAGCTTGTAAAGCAAGCCGTTGTACCGGACCTTGTCGAATGCTTTTGCGACATCGAAGAAAAGAGCTCCCGAAGTGTTTGGGGTGATTGAGGCCTTTCAGAATATGTTCCGCGGTATAATTGGTCGGTACAAGAGAGTCCAGCTCGAAAGCCGAATTGGCATAAGGCCGTTTGAGAAAAAAATAATCTTTAAGTCTTTTTAAAATCAGTCGTTCGTAGAGCTTCCCCATCAATTGAGGAGGCTGATAGGGCGAATTAAATCGTATTAAGTTATTGTTATGAAAGACATACCGTGACGTACATTACATACCAAATAATTTAACTCATAGTTTAAAATGACAATAAATTAACATTTACAGGAGAATCAAAATCTATATATTGCAGATATTTCCCTGGATTATTTATGAAGATAAGATGTTTATTTTAATTTCTAAGCCTATATATATATATATATATATATACTAACTTTTCAGGTAGGCTTTTCTAAGTGTATCCATTTTTTTTATTAAAATCTAGAAGTAAATAATGTTATATAAAAAATGATAAATATTTAAAATCACTCGTAATTTATTAAATGCATTTATTTGAAATTATCTGAAAAAGTGCGTCATTTATGGGCACTTCATTGATTTTACGCGCAATCATTCATAACTAACACGCACACAAGTTCGTTTCAAAAGTATACGACGCATTTATGAATGACTACCGCAGTGTCAACAAGTTCTGTTTTTTAGGTAATGCCAATTTCAGCCCTGTAGTTCCGGGCTCGTAGAATAGGACTAAGGTATCTCCTGCCTGTCGTAAAAGGCGACTAAAAGGGGACACGGATTGGCAGCAGCTCGAAGTGGCCTCGAGCTGCTGCAAGATGGCGAGGAAACCGGGGAAGGTTTAACCCTTCTCCGAGGCCAGTCCGAGGGACACCGGTGCGTTCCGTAGGAGATCCCGGAGTCCCTCCAAACGTACAGAAGGTAGCCACCGAGGGGGTTTTAGTGGGTAAGAACCCCACATAACCCTGTCTCAGGGTATCTTACGAAGATTTCCCCTCCGATACCAAAAAAAAAAAGGGAATGCCAATTAAAAAAAAAAAAGTTTGTTTTTATTTCAATAAATGATTATACTACCGAGTTTGAACCTCCTGTGTGAATTTGGGTACCTTTAGAAAAGCCAACCTGTATATAAAATTAATGCTAGTAAGCCAAGCCTATTAATATGAGTTCATTATTTAATTTTCCTATAGATAATAATAGTAACATTTATGAATGTTTGTAATGCATTAAATATGTAAAATGTGACAAAAGCAAAAATTCAGGGATATATTAATAACTGATTATTCATTAGATGGTTAATCACATGAATCGCTATATGTTGTCAGTACTATAGAAATAGTAGTATACCCTGGCCTCCTGCCACATACGATCCGGCATTTCGAGTCTGCCTACAAAATCCACTTAATTAACGTAACATAGTTGATATTTATGTATATGTATTTGCAAAGAGCGACGGAAATTACATTATTATACTAATAAATCGAGCAAGACTTTTGAAATAGAATTGTCTTTTCACGGAGTAACTATTGACTACTACAGAGGCATGGATGTGCTGGCTCAACGGAGGAAGTGACCGCATCATAGAATATTGGCGTACCGAAAAAGAATTTATGTTTGCGTTGCGTTTAATTTGATGAGCGATGTAACTTTCATGTGTGTATGTATGCATCACCTCTTTGGCTTTTTAAATACTGGCTTTTTATTTGAAGAAATGACGATATTAGCGTGCTTAATAGATCAATGCAATAGAACAATAAATAATAATAAAATAATTGACTGCTACTTCAGTTCGTTACTCAAGTTCGTTAAGGAACAAAAGCCCTAGCTTTCGATGTGTTATTATATACATACAAAAAACTTGCTCCCTTTAGTGACAGCGGATACGAGGAGCATCCGCCAAATTAGTAACAGGCGGCTCAAATGTTACAAAATGCTCAATTAGTACGGGATAATGATGATGTATTTTTTGCGATACATCCTCGAAACTTTAAGTCTGGAAAACTTTTAGATTCTTCTTCATAACAATATAATATACAATGTTTAAAAATGTTAGTTATTTGACAATCCATTCGCGTTGTTAATGTCTCTATGTTAGATAATATTGTCATCTCACATCTGCTAGAAGGTTGACCACTAGTGCGGTGGAAGCAAGGTTCAAATTCGTACATTCTTAATATCCCTAATTCTTAACTTTCATTGATCTGATCTTAATGTGTAAATAAAGCTACTTTTTAATATGTAATTTAGAAATGACGTTTTATTTAAAATGGTTATTTATGTTTTGGTTTAATGTATTAAATGCATTGCACTATAGTTTTATTGTAGAAAATGTCCGCTTTTTTGTTTTCAAAGCAGCATCAGTGAAATGGTATGAATTTAAAATGGCTGAGAGACTGCTCATACTCTACCTGCATACTTATCACTACATAGTATGAAACAAAGTCGTCCCGCTGTCTGTCTTTCCCTATGTATGCTTAGATCTTTAAGACTACGCAACGGATCTTGTGTTGGGTTTAGCGGTCTGCTTAAAAGTTTAACAAATCCCGTGGGCAGATGGTTAAGTAGATTAAGGACAATAATCATAATTAACGACTAAACGGAGGGTGCAATGTTATATGTGGTTACCCACCAACGCAAGGGCGGATCCAGCTTTGGTGCCAGGGGGGGGGGGGGGGGGGTCAAGTGATAAGAAGTTATAATTAGGTATTTTAACCGACTTCAAAAAGAAGGAGATCATCAATTCGGATGTTTATATTTTTTTATGTATATTATGGCATAGCTTCGTCATATTTAGACGGATTTGCAAAATTCTTCTTTTGTTTGAAAGGGTTTCATTTCTAAATGGTCCCATATAAATTTCATATAGATTAGATGATGATTTTCGGAGATAGCAACGGAACTCTTCGAAATATGACAGGAAATCAACCGTGTTTGCTGCTATCTCATAAAAATGTATTGATTTGCATGTAACGAATTGTAATAGTTACGTACATAATTTGATTTGAAGTCGGTTCTTTTTTTGTTAAAAAACTTTTCATATATACAGCGTGTCGTTACAACCGCGACAATAAATGAACACACGTCTAACGCTACTTGCCAATAATCATAAAAAATATAAGCGTTAAAAAAAATCCATAATTTAACTAATTAAATAAAAATTAAACAAAATTTGTCACATCCTATATACAACTGCAAATGACTGATTCAGACATTCAGAGATTTTTCATTCGTTCTAACAGTATGTTTTATCTCTTTTAAATTCATTCAACCCATTCATATGCTTTGTGACCTTTAAAAATGAACTTTACGTTACAGTTTGTTCTAAAATTGTTTGTTTTGGAAAATTTAATAACTCTTTAAATACTGATGTTTAGAGAATGTAAATGTTTAATACAATTTTAAAAAGTTATCCTCTATATGTGTGTTCATTTATTGTCGCGGTTGTAACGACACGCTGTATGTATGTAAGTACTTACTGTTATTGAAAATACCTATATTTAAATAACAAAATAAATTTTTCCTTTACGTCTTCTCCCGAAACGCGTTATCTGTTTAGGTTAATTACCAGAAGTCCCACCTTTAAATTAGAGGAGCAGAGTCATTTTTAATTATTAGTATCTAGTCTCGGCAATTAGCACGTTTAACGGAAATAGTAGTAAATCGAATAGTTATTAGGTATACCTATTAAGTAATGCTTTAGGTATAGTGTTAAAACAAACAAAACGGTTTTAACTTTTTTAATATTTTATAGCTTTTAAAAATCAATAATTTTCGAAGTGCTCGTTCCTGAATAGTGCATTTGGAATCATGCAAAAATTAAAAAAAACTAAGTTTAAAAAAACCGACTTCAAAAACCTAACGGTACAAAATAACTTAATAAAGATTTAATTAATTAATTAATATTTTTTTTAAGTAGCTATTGATAGGCTTACTTATTTTTGAAAT